CACCTCCCAGCCCTTGCTCTCCGGCGACACACCCAGGTGAAGCCCCAAGCGAGCTTTCGGCGCCAGCTTCCCACCGCACTGCTGCTCGGGAACCATGAACTGCACCATGCAGCCCCACACCCGCGCCAGCGTGAGGTCGTCCCTGGCGGCGTCGTCGACCGCTTTAAGCACTTGCGCACCCAGACAGCCTCTCAAAGAGCGAGGTGCCACCAGTGGTACTGCACACCCATGTGCAGCAGCATCGTCCGCACGGACTCGACGACCGTGCGCATCTCCCGCTTAGCCATGCCGTTTTGCTGCGGAGTGTAGGGGCACGTCAAGTCGTGGACGATGCCCTTCCCATCGACGAAGTTGGTGAAATCCTTTCCGAGGAACTCCCCTCCCCGGTCGGAGCGAAGCGACAGCACCGACTTCTGCGTCTGCCGTTCCACCAACACCAGCCACTTCTGGAACTCCCGCAGCACGTCGCTCTTCTTAGCGACCGGCATTGCCCACACGAACCGAGTATGGCGATCCTTCAGCAGCAGGAAGTACAAGCTGCCATCCTTGGCAGCCACCTGAAGTGGCCCGCACAAGTCAATGTGCACGACAGCCAGTGCCTCCACGGCGTCCGAGCCCTTGTCGGGGAAGGTGTGCCACGCCAGCTTTCCTCCGGCGCACGAGACACACGGCGGGTCTGCTCCGGTCGACGGCGTGATGTCGAGCCCAACAGCAACTTCATGCTTTGCCAAGCTCTTGATTGTGTCGACGCCGACGTGCGCGAGCCTCGCATGCAACCGGTCAGGGGTCGACTTCGTCGCCGAGACGATCGTCTGCAGAGCCACCACCTTGGTCGACGGCGACCGCGTCGAGCAGGGGCAAAGGTCGGTGCAGAAGACTTGTCCGGTGTAGCGTGCTCGGCCGAGCACCTCCCCGGTCGCGGCGACGAGCAGCATCTCGTCGCCGTCGCCCTGCAGCTGCACTCCGCTCTCCTTCAGTTGGCCAGCTGACAGCAGGTTCGCCTGTACGCCCGGAACATAGAGCACGTCGGGGATGAGGACCTGCTTCCCGACCTCCCCTTGTAGAGCGACGGTTCCGCGACCCTCGACGGGCTGAAGCGCCCCGTTGAATCCACGCACGTGCTTCACTCCGTCGCTCGGCGCCATGTCGACGAAGACCGCCTTCGTCCCCATCAGGTGGTGGGAGCACCCGCTGTCGAGCAGCACCGCCATCGGGTTGGCCTGCACAGCTGCCGCCACCGCCTGGAAGTCCTCGCCAGCCTCCGGTGCCAGCGAGACTGTCGGCTCCACCACGCCGACCATCGAGCACGACGCCTCCCCGTCGCCTCGGCCCTTGCCGCTGGAGCTGTCGACGTCCTTCGTCGTCTGCTTCTCCTTACGCGGCTTTGCATCTCGACGGGGGCGACGACCGTCCGCGGCCTCCATTGATGTCGTCCTCGTCGCTGTCATTGCGGTCGGGGCCCTCGAAGGAGAGATGGTCAGGGTCGCCGCAGATCCAGCACTCCCGCCGTCGAGCACCACCTCGTCGACCCTTGTCCCTCGTCGACCTTTTCTCCTCGACGTCCTTCGTCGACCGCCCACCTCCGCTACCACCTCCGCCCGGCTTCCCGCGCTGCTCCTGCTGACGATTGAGCTTCGTCGATGCAGCGTAGTTTGCCTGCGAAAGGAGCTCCGTGGGCTGTTCGGCCTCCTGCATCGCCTCGTCTTGAAGGATGTAGCTGGTGATGGAGTCCTCGTCGAGGGACTCACGCGTGCCGGGCACCATCATCATCCTCTTCATGAGGTTGTAGTCGCGCGGCAGGCCCTTGACGATGTGGGTGATGTAGGACGCCGTCAAGTATTTGGCGCCCGCCATCCGCATCTCAGCAAGGATCCGTCGAGCACGGTTGCACTAATCCGTCGCCGACTCCTGCTCGCCCATCCGAATGTGAGTTATCTTCTCCTCCAGCTGCCCGATGTACAGGTCGTCCCTGACCTGGTACGTCGACAGGATGAAGTGCCATGCCTGGTGACCAGCATCCAGTCGCTCTCGACAGCTCCTGAGCGCCAGCTGCACCACCGGCGAGCAGCACATCGAGATGACCATGAAGGTGAGCAAGTGAGCCTCGCGAAACTCCCCGCGCAGCTCGACATCGTCCACGGGCGGAATTGGCACTGTGCCGTCGGCGAAGCCCTTCAGCCCGGCGACCTCCAGCTGAGTTTCTATCGACTCCCTCCAGGTGATGAGGTCCCGTCGACCTTGCAGCGGTGCGACAGTGATCCTGTCTGGCGAGAACTTGAAATAACCATACGCCGGTGCAATCCCGCATGCCGTCACATGCGTCGTCGCCGAGATCCCTCCACCGCTTCGTAGAGGAGAGCGACATCGACCATGGACGTTGGCACGCGAGCTGCCTGCAGCCGCCGTCGACCGCTGCACTCGCACCTGAATCCTGTCGACGCCACCGTCGACCTTGATCACCCCTCTCTGCTTCGTGCCTTCGCTGCCGCTGACTCGTGCACCGCCGTCGACCTCGTCGTCGACGCCTCCTTCGTTTTGCACTGGTCGAGGAGATGCAGGACGGGAAGGGTGTTCCGTCGCCCACTGCGACTGGATGCCCAACTCGACGATCAGCAAGGGGATCGTCCCGTACTCGCCATCCGCGTGGCGTTTCCTCGCATCAGCCAGGCGTGCCTCCAAGGTGTCCGCTACTCCCGCATCAGCTACGGGGTCGACCATGGTGACTAACGCTGCTGCCGGCCTATGAACGACTTAGTAGATGCAAAAGTCGGCTCCTATCTGAAGGTAATTTGCGGGGCCGTCCACGCTCACCGCACCATGCGGAGATTCACTCGACAAGGGTAGTGAGCTAGACTACGGGGGGTAGGCACGAACTACTAAGAGTGATCGTAGCTTTGCTTGCGTTCCTTAGCACTTGCGCATCCACGGGAGAAGTTGGCAAGAGTTTCACTAGCAAAGTAGGAATTACATAATGGTTCTACAAGAAATGACAGAATGACTACATCAGGCACCTAGCAACCCTGCAGCTAGCCTGGTCGACCGCCAGCACAGCTTGGTCGACCGCGTGCCAGCGTTGCGTAGAGGAGCCGCGCCAGCACTGCGGAAAGGCGACCTGTCAACAGAGCTGGTCGACGGCGTGCCAACGCTGCAGCAGAGCGGCTGTCCAGCGTTGCCCCGTAGAATACATCAGTGCGCACGCTCGCAGGTGCGCGCATACGATTGGCCCGACTTGCCTCGTTGGGCATCTGTCGGCTGTTGTCTGCGCCTGACGAGCCACATCGACTTCGGGATACCAGCCCGCAGTCGCCTGCACCATCGCGACCTCGACGACGTTCGCGTGCCTCCGCAGAACTCGTCGAGCAGGTCACCCGCTCGACCTGGTCGACCATGAGGTGCTTCCGGTCGACCACCACTGCCTCTGGTCGACCAACGGGTCCCTCCGGTCGACCACCAGGTCCCTCTGGTCGACCACAGCTCCCGCCGAGCTACCCCCTGGTCGACGGACCCCTTCTGTCGACCAGAACAGTCAGCGGTTGTCGCCGAGCTCCCCTCGTCGACCACTGCTCACTTCTCAGGTCGACGGACTGCTCCGTCGACCTCCCGGTCGAACTGTAGGTCGACGGACTGCTCCGTGGACCTCCCGGTCGAGCTACAGGTCGACGGGCTGCTCCGTCGACCTCCCGGTCGAACTGCCCCTCGTGGTCGACGGCCCACCCGTCGCCCAGACCAGTCAGTTGCAGCTGTCGAGCTCCCTGGTCGACAGCAACACCACAGCGGTCCCCTGCAGCTCGACGATGCCTGTCGAGCAGCTCTCCCACTGTGAACGGTCGGCTGCTACTCCCGTACGTCCGACCAAGTCGTCGGCGTTGCCCAAGCGAGGGCGGGGCCAACACTCCATTCCTGTGAACACAAATAACATTTTGACACTAGTGTCTTGTATTTTTTTGCCCTGAAACATCCAGATGAATTTCTGCTCGTGCCCTGAAATTTCAGGATGGCCAGGGAATCTTACCCTGACAAATCAGGGCATTTAGGAAAGTTTCAAAAGTTGCCCTGAGGGCTCAGGGTGCCCTAAATCCTAGCATTGGCCCTGCTTCCGACTTGAGTACGTTTCAACTCGAATTCCATAACGCTCACTTTCCAGTTGCTCACTTTCCCCCCTTTCCCGTCAATTCCACGTTCTTCCCCCCACTGCATCATCGCTTGCAGCAACCCGAGCAGAATGCCCGATTACTTCTCGCATATTGTTTCGTAAGCCCATTTGCCTCGTATATCTTTACTTCTGTTCGTTCTTCACCGCTGGGGCACGGTAGTAGCAATTTAGGCGGTTCTAGGCCTCAATTCAGAATCGCAATTTAGAGGCGCTTTTCAGGGTCACATATCAGGGCCGCCTTTCTGGCCGTCGAATACCCTGGTAGGGCAAGGTGCAATGGAGGCAGGACATGCGGGGGTGGTAGAGCACATAGGGAAGGCTTTAGACGTGCAGAGAGCAGATGGACGATTCGATTCCTTGCGGCGGTATAGGCGGCGCGGCGCGTCGGAGAATAGGTGGGATGCGCAATTGTGGGCGGAGAACAGGGGAGGCACGGTGGTGGGAGGTGGGGAAGCGAGGGAAGCGAACGGAGGCGCGGGAGTGGATGCGCGGACGCAACAGGACGACATGGCGATGTGTAACGCCTGTGGGCTGGTTAATGGGCATTCCGGTGCGCCATACAACACCTCGTTTTGACCCAGTGGGTAGCGAGATGTTATACTGGTTTCAGAGCCTAGGGTTCGAGTTCCGGCTGGTCCACACTTTCCGTCTGTGGCGAGAAGTGAAGTGTGGTTACCAGCTCAAAACCAGTGAACGATCCTGAAATCTAGGTCCCAGCAGCAGGGGGCCGACTCCCTAAGTAGAGAGCCAACAGGGACGTTGGCGCCAGGGGGGGACGAGTGTAACGCCTGTGGGCCGGTTAATGGGCATTCCGCTGCGCCATATAACACCTCGTTTTGACCTCGTTTTAACACCTCGTTTTGACCGAGGAGCGGCATGATGCGCGGAGGGGCACGGAGCGCGGAGGAGGTGTCTCCGGAGCAGCTGATGTGTGAGAAAGGAAGAGAGGGAGGAAGGGAGGGAGATAGAGAGAGGAGGCGGGGGAGGTGTCTTTGGAGCAGCTGATGGGTGTGAGCCGATGGTGCTTGCTGCGCGCCGTGGAGGTTGACGTGACGGCGGGATTGGCGGAGAGGCCTGGGGAGATGGAGAGAAAGAGAGAAGAAGAGTGGAGGAGAGTGAGGGAGGAAGAACAGAAGAGAGTGAGCGAGGAAGAGCGAGAGAGAGTGAGAGATGAAGAGAGGGAGAGGATTAGAGTGGAAGAGAGGAAGAGAGAAGACAGAGAGAAATAGGGTGAGAGAGGAACAGTGGAAGAAAATGAGAGAGGAGGAGAGGACCTGTGTGAGAGGAGAAGAGCGAGAGAGGGTGAGAGAGGAAGAGAGGAAGAGAGAAGAAGAGATGAACAGGACGAGAGAGGAAGTGTGTAAGAAAGAGGAAGAGAGAAATAGGGTGAGAGAGGAAGTGTGGAAGAGAGTAAGAGAGAAAGAGAGGAAGAGGGTGAGGGAGGAAGAGCGAGAAAGGGTGAGGGAGAAAGAGAGGAAAAGAGAAGAAGAGAGAAATAGGGCGAGATAGGAAGAGTTGAGGCGAGAGGAAGAGAGCAATAGGTTGAGAGAGGAAGTGTGGAGGAGAGTGATAGAGGACGAGAGGAAGAGGGTGCGGGAGGAAGAGCGAGAGATTGTGAGAGAGGAAGAGGGGAAGAGAGAAGAAGAAAGAAATAGGGTGAGAGAGGAAGAATGAAAGAGACTGAGAGAGGAAGAGAGGTAGAGGGTGCGGGAGGAAAAAGATTGAGAGAGGAAGAGGGGGAGAGGGAGAGAGAGGAAAAGTGGGAGAGGGCGAGAGAGGAAGAGAGGAAACGAGTGAGCGACGAAGAGACGAAGCGAGTGAGAGAAGAAGCAAGGAGAGCGAGAGAGGAAGAGGCGAATAAAAAGAGAGAGGTGGAGAGGAAAGCGAGTGAGGCTTTAATGACGGCAAAGAGGCATGAAAAAGAGTTGAAATCAGCATTGAAGGAGGCAACGAGGGCAGTGGTGGGGTTGAAGCATGTCATTGAGGAGAAGGTGCGGATGATACTGCAGCAGCAAGCAGCACTGCTTCGCTGCCCCATGGAGGAGACATATACGCCCTCTCAAGCCGAGGCTGGAGGCAGGGCTGTGTTCTCTCAAGCTGCATGCAGCTAGTGCCAACCCACTCATGGCTGTGTGCTTCAAGCAGCAGCTGGAGGCAGTGCAGGGTGCAAGCGCGCTCGCGTGGCGGATGGCTCGGCTGCTGCTGCACAGCTTCCAAGGTCCACCATGATGGAGGTGAGTGCTGCCGTGCATACCATCAGCTTCCAGTCCCCACCATCCCATGCCACTCATATGATTGGCCCATCCCATTCCCCCATCCCCCCCATCCCGATCCGCAATTCCTCTCCCCCAATTCCATTTCTCCATCCTATTCCCAATATCGTCCCCCTATTCCATTCACCATGGCATTCCCCCATCCCTTTCCCCCATCCTTTCTCCCACCCCGTTCCCCCATCCCACGCCCCCATCCCAATTCCCTAACCCATCACCCAATACCACGCCCCATCCCATTCTCTCATTATCCCCGCATCCCTATCCTTGATTCCCTATGTAATTCCCCCATCCCTTTCACCCATCTTAATCCCCCATCCCATTCCCCTACTCCATGTCAAACTATATGTTTGTGTTCTTTCTAGGCTATAGTGGCTTAGCCTACAAGGGGTACAACCCTTTAGGGTTAGTACTTGTACCCAACTCATTCATAGTCCATTCATTCCTGCACAGTGATTCTGACATGGTATTCAGAGCAGGAAACTTGTTAGGTTTTTTGGGCCCACCGATAGTTCCGCTCTCTCCTGCCCGAAGTGCCCTTGCGCTGTCCGGCCCTGCTCGCTCAGTGTTGCGCTGCCTTGCAGCTACTCGCACTTCCTGCCCTAGCGCGCTGCCCAACTTTCACGCGCGCCCCTCCTGCCCGTGAACGGCTACTGCCCCACGCGCCCCTACTGCCCGCGAGCGGCCCTTGCCCCGCGCGCCCCTACTGCCCGCGAGCGGCCCTTGCCTCGCGTGCCCTACTGCCCGCGAGCAGCCCCTACCCCGCGCGGCACAGCTGCCCGCGAGTAGCCCTTGCCCCGCGTGCCCCTGCTGCCCGTGAGCAGCCCCTGCCCTGCGCGCCCCTTCTGCCCACGAGCAGCCTCTGCCCTAGCGCGCCCCGCAGCCCAGCGCGCCCCGCAGCCCTAAGCGCGCCAGCGCTCCCCGCAGGCCAGCGCGCCACGCTGCTTAGCGCGCCAACGCTCCCCGCAGCCTAGCGCGCCAGTGCGCCCCGCAGACCAGCGCGCCAGCGCCCCCCGTTGCTAAGCACGCCAGCGCACCCTGCAGCCCTATGCGCGCCAGCGCGCCCCACTGCGAAGCGCGCCAGCACGCCCTGTAGCCCAGCGTGCCAGCGTGCCCCGCTGCTAAGCGCGCCAGCGCACCCCGCAGCCCTAAGCGCGCCAGCACGCCCTGCAGCCAAGCGAGCCAGCGCGCCCCGCAACCCTAAAAGCGCCAGCACGCCCTGCTGCCCAACACGCCGCTGCTGCATGTGCTGCTGTTGCTGTTGTACGCTGCTGCTACTGCAGCTGCTGCACACGCTGCTACTGCTGCGCTGTGCCCTGCCGAGCAGCGCTGCCCAGCCCGAGCCGCGCCGCCCAGCCCGAGCCGCGCTGCCCTGCCCCTACTGAGCTGCACTCTCCTACTGCTGCTCCTACTGCTACTACTATGGCTGCTACTACCACTGCTGGCACTACTTCTGTTACTGTGCTAGTCTGTGCCCTGCTGTCCACGTACTCTACTGGCCTCCACAGTCACTACAGCAGTCGCTACTACTGCCCTTGTGCCGCTGCTACTGAGTGCCACTGCCTGTCATGGCCACTATCACGGTAGTCGCAGCGGCTAAGGGTGGACAGCAGCGGCCACTGCCTCACCCGGATACTCTATCCCCGCAGCAGCTTCGCGAGTGGGTTCTTCAGCGAGCCCGTCCAGGTGGTGGAGGCTTTGGATTTCTGCGTACTGCACAGAGGCGGCAGCAGAGTCAGCAGGAGACCTTCTCCCCGCAGCAGCTTAGTGAGTTGGTTTCTCAGCGATGTGTCACTGGTTCTGTAGAGGCTGCTGCTCTAGGTGCTAGTGAGTCTGCTGCCGCACTCGATGCTAGTGAGTCTGCTGCCGCTCAAGGTGCTAGTGAGTCTACTGCAGCTTTAGGTGCTCGTGCGTCTACCGCCATAGGTACTGCGTCAGCTGAGGCCTTGCACACTTTCACACTTGACTCAGGCGCTTCACGTTGCTTCTTTCGTGACTGCACCACACTCACACCACTTGCTGCACCGGTTCCAGTCTCACTGGCTGACCCCACTGGGGGCCCAGTAGTCGCACGAGCCTCCACTGTCCCCCGTGTCCAGCAGTCCCCTCCGGTTCTCTGTCAGGTCTCCACCTCCCCACGTTCTCGACGAACTTGGTGAGCAACGCTGCCATTCAGGATGTCTGGGTTGATACCTTTATTCCTGGAGGGAAGCGTGTGGCGATTTGTACGTGCTCCCGGACTGGCCATCACCTTGCTACGTTCACTCAATGGCCTGGGTCTAGTCTGTACACACTGACCACTGCGTCTGCACATGTGGCTGAGTCAGGTCAGGTGGCTCCGTCGAGTCAGGTGTCTGCGTCTGGTCCCACCAGACTCTCCTCTTGCACCACCGCCTCGGTCACCCCTCACTGCCACGTCTCAGCAGCATGCACTCTCGTCTTCTTGTCTCTGGCCTTCCCAGGTCCGTGCCCTCCCTCCCACGCTCGCCTGTCCCGCCGTGCCTTCCCTGCATTGAGGGGCGGCAGCGCGCCGCTCCTCACTCCTTCGAGTATCCTCCGACCACTGCTCCTCTGCAGACTCTCCACATGGACGTTTGGAGACCAGCCCCCGTCGGTGGAACGGACCAGGAGCGATACTTCCTGCTAGTTGTTGACGACTACACACGCTACACCACGGTCTTCCCCTTGCGTTGCAAGTCGGACGTCAGCGGTGTTTTGATCCCCTGGATCCGTGCTACTCGTCGCCAGCTGCGCGAGCGGTTTCGTCGGGACTTCTCAGTTCTGCGTCTGCACTCTGACAGGGGCGGTGAGTTCTCTTCTGACCTCCTTGCGGAGTTCTGTCGAGACGTGGGGGTTGCTCGTACCTCCATGATCCATGCGGCTGCTCCCCATTTTCTGTGGCCATTTGCGGTCCGATACGCTGCGCATCAGCTCAACCTCTGGCCCCGTGTCTCTGAGCCAGAGACCTCGCCCACCCTCCAGTGGACAGGGAAGGTTGGCGATGCGTCGGTGTTTCGGGTCTGGGGCGCGCTCTCCCTTGCTCGTGATGCCAAAGCGAGCAAGCTCTCCTCTCGCACTCTCCGCTGCGTCTTCCTTGGCTTCCCCACCGACGCCCCACCCTGGCAGTTCTACCACCCGTGCTCGCGTCGAGTCTTCTCCTCCCAGGACGTCACCTTTGACGATTCTGTCTGTTTCTAGAGGCTACACCCGCACGCGTCCCACCCGGTCCCCCTAGCGCCTTATTTCTTGGTACCTGTCCCCCCCCGGTAGACCCCCTCCCCCCACAGGGTCCTGCTCCCTCAGGTGTGTCTCAGGTAGACCCAACCCCCTTGGTTGAGCCTTTGGAGATCTCTTCTGACTCCTCTGGCCCAGCCGAGGGGGGTGACCCCGCCGATGACGACACACCGGCCACTCGCCGCTCTCCACGCTTGGAGACCCCCCCTGGTTTTCCGCCTCGGCCGTCTTCGCCACCTGCGCAGCCTGGTGCTGTGGACTCTAGAGCTGAGACGGCTGGTGCTGAGCCTGGGGGTGCTGTACAGATGGTGAGGGTTCTGGGGGTGTTGCGACTGGGGGTGCTGGTTCTGGGGGTGCTGCAACTGGGGGTGCTGACTCTGGGGGTGCTGCGATTCCTAGTGGCGGTGGAGCTATGGGTGTCCTTGCTGGAGGTCCTGGAGCTGGACAGCCACTCCAGCCTGATCTACTTGAGACGCTCTCGCCGCAGGCGATTCGTGCGTGGATCGTTCGGTGAGGCAGTCCTGGTGGTGGAGGGTACGGTCCTGCTGGTGCTGGAGCTGCTAGTCCTGGAGGTACTGCTGGTGCTGGAGGTGCTGGAGATACTGCTGGAGGTACTGGAGGTGCTGCTAGTACTGGAGGTACTGCTGGAGGTGCTGGAGGTGTCAACGGGAGTGTTGTTTGGCCCCGTCCTTGCTTGGGCGGAGCCGACCTCGTGGTCGGATGTGCGGGGGTTGCAGCCGACCTGCAGCAGTGGGCACGGGGGCCACTGCAAGGGCGCCGAGCTGGAGGGCGCCGGGCAGAAGGACGCCGTCCTGGACGCTTGGTCGGCGTCCTGGACGCCTGGTTGGCGTCCTAGAAGGCCAGACGCCGACCTGGGCGTCCGTACGGCGTCCTGGAAGGCCGGACGCCGACCTAGGCGTCTGCACGGCGTCCTAGGAGCCTGGGACGCCGCCCTGGGCGTCTGCACGGCGTCTTGGGGGCCCGGACGCTGACCTGGGCGTCTAGTCGGCGTCCTGGGAGGCTGGGCGCCGCCGTGGACGTCTGCAAGGCGTCCTGGGCGTCTTGACGCCGACCTGGGGGTTCGGACGGTGTCCTGGGCGTCTGGACGACGGACTGGGGACGCCGGGCATTGATGGCCGACTACGGACTGCGCTAGTCGATCAGGCGTGGTTGCCCGGTCGACCGGGATACCCGGGCGACGTGCGCGAGTGTCGCCGGGGTGGAGTCTGCGAGGCCAACCTCGGGGGTGGTATCCCGAGGCCGACGTGGCTGGTGGGCGCAGTCGCTGGCGTGGAGTTTGCCAGGCGTCTGCGCTGTGCTCGTGACAAGGTGTGGAGCGCCAACCAGCTGCACGCACCTACGAAGCAGGTGCACCGTTGTCCTGCGGGTGCAACGCTGTGCAGTCGACTTGCTGCAGCGTTGGCACATCATGGA